CCGAGACCCCCTCCCCGTCCTTTTTCTGTTCCGACGTTAACTCTCCCTCGACAGGCGCCTCGTGGGCGCGGTAGGGGTTCCAGTGGGAAAGGTAGGTCTCAGCCCCCTCGGAGGCCCCCCTCGAGGCCAAATGCCTCTGGGCGGGGGGTTGCCTCCTCACGGGGCGGTGCGTCAGGCAGCGGTGCCTGATCGGGGGGGTGGGGGGGCTAGCAAGGTGGTCCTGGCCCTGGTGGCTCCACCGTGTTGGTCTCCTTCCTCCTTGATGTGGGTGCCAATGCCACGGCGTGTGCACGGCTCGCACTTAAAAAAACGGCGGGATTAAGGTTTCGCCCCTCAGAATCCAAGCTTTGCTGACATTTTTTGATGCGTCGAGGCTAAGCTGACGAGGGATTCCATGAGCTAGTCAGTCAGTCAGTCTCCTCCTCCCCCTCCTCCTCCTCCTTCTCCTCCTCCCCCTCCTCCTCTTCCTCCTCCTCGTTTACCTCCTCCTCCTCCTCCTCCTCCTCCTCCTCCTCCTCCTCCCCCCTCCTTCTCCACTCCCTCCTCGTCCTCCCTCCTCCACCTCCGCCTCGTCCTCCTCCCCTACAGATTGCATCCCCTGCGCTGCTCCTCCTTCTCCCCCTGCCTTCCCTTTCTCCCCCTGCCGCGCCTAGCTCTTCCTCAGTTCCTCCACCCTCCTGCCCTCCCTCTTCTCCTCCCCTCCTCTCCCATCCTTCCCCCCCCCCTCCCCTTCCTCCTTTGCTCTATAACCCTTTTCCTCCGCCTCCTCCTCCTCCTCCTCCTCCTACTACTACTAGTCCTCCTCCTGGTCCCCCTGCTGGTCCTCTTCCCTGGTCCTCCTCCTGGTCCTCCTCCTCCTCCTACTCCTCCTCCTCCTCCTCCTGTGGAGCACTGCAGAAATCTCCCGAGCAAACATTCGGCAGAAACAACGGGGAACCCGTTGGGGAACCCGTTGGGGAACCCGTTGGGGATTGCCGAAGATGTCCAACAATCTCCTCCTCCTACTTTCCCTCCTCGGCTCATTCTTCCTCGTCCTTCCTCCTCCTCCTCCTCCTCCTCCTCCTCCTCATGCCGCTCCTGCCTTCGCCTCTTCAAACCCACCCGGGACGCCACATTCCAACAGACCTCAACACACTTCGAGAACCCTGTGACCCCCCACGTCCCATCCTCCTCCAACTCCTCCCATGGAAAGCCAGCCAACACCGCCGAGACAACTCCGATTGATGTGTTCGAATAGACAGTTCCTGGACCTCCTGGGTACTCATCCTGAGAAGGTACCTGGGCCAAGGATCTGTCCCTGGACGCTGGCTTGTCACTGGATTTTGAACACACGCGCAAATCTGGCGCCGTTCTTTGGAGCCTCCAGACGTCTCTGATATCCGAGGGGAAGGGGAGAGGGGGAAGATGCGGAAGCGTGGGGCAAGGGGAGGAGCAGAACAAGAGCAGGAGATAGGGTGGGGAAGGGGGACGCTGCAGCAGGGAATGGGGGGGGACGAGGGGGGGCGGGCAAGGGCGAAAGGGGCACCACCTCGCCCTCCCTCCCTGCCTCCTCTCTCCCCCCATCCTCCCTCCCCCCTCCCTCCTTCATCGCTCCTCACTCCCTCCCTCCTCCCTCCCGCCTCCATCCCTCCTCGATCCCTCCCTCCTCCTCCCTGCCTCTTCCCTCCCTCCCTCGCTCCCTCCCTCCTCCCTCCCTGTTTCCTCTCCTGACTCCCTCCATCCCTCCTCCTGACTCCCTCTCTGGCCCCCCATCCCTTAGGGAGGGTGGGGGGGGTGCGGTGGGAGCCGGAGGATGGTGGCGGCGCAGCGGCATGACGCGGAAGGAGGCCGGCGGCGGCGGCGCGGGCTGACGGCAAGCCGCGCGCGCCCTGTTCCGAAGCGGGCGGGGCCGCCAAGGCAGGGAGCGCTGGCGGGTTATGCCGCGCCCCCAGACGCTTGCGCGGCCGCCCTCCCCGAGGGAGGAAGGAGGAGCGAGGGGCGAGGAGGAGAGGACGGGGGAGGAGCGAGGGGAGGGATGAGGAGAGGAAGGGCGGGAGGGGGAGGGGGAGGAAGAGCAGGACGAACTATGTGGTGGACGAAAACATGGGACAAACGTGGGGAAACGTGCAGTGTGAACAACGTGATGAAATCTATGCTGCGCAATCTGCGTGGCGCTGGCCACGCGGTGTCAGCCATGGGGCATACTCTACGTGGTGCAAGCTGCGTGGAGAGATTTTGGTGCAAGCTTCATGGGGTGATGACCGTAGCCCAACTGATGATTTCCAGCCAATTTGCGAGTCGCCCACGAAAGGGCCCACGCATAACTCGCAGGCGGCCGCGGGCGGCGACCGAAAGAAGAACCCGAAGAGCCGTCCACCGCAAAGGCCTGCGCCCGCGAGGCGCCCGGGGGCGGCCAACAGGCCACCGAACCAAACCCAGAGCAGCCAGCCCGCGCACGAGGCTTTTCTTCGGTGCCCGGACAGAGCACCTGGACGACACGGCCCAATGGAGGGTGCCCAATGTGCCGGCATGAGTTCACATGCAGTGGGACCTCGCAACAGGAATGGCAGCACAGACGCGCCCCAGGCATCCCACCTGCGCCCCCGCTGCGAGGTGCATCGCTAGGGGCCCACGAAACGCACGGGCGGTCACGGGGCGAAGAACCCGAAAACGCCTGACAGCGCAAGGGCGCCCACGGGGAGCCCACGGGCGGCCGCGGGGCAGACACGGAAGCAGGAACTCCAGCCAAGGCGCGAGGCGCGGACCAGGCGACCACCGGGCCAGAAACCAACCTCGAAGCTCGAGCCAACTGCATCGAATATGCTGGCCACTCTGGACCTCAACCTGTGGCACGCAGCACTCTGGATGTGTAGGCTATGTGGTGCAATGTGAGGCCCGCGGTTCGTGGTGCAGGCGACATGGAGCACAACTCGCGCGCAAGCTATGTGGGTGGCGACGGCGCACCCGCTAGAGCCCGCCAGGCGGAAACCCGAAATTCCCAGCCCAAGGCAACATGCCCACCGGGCGCCAAACGGCGCCTACGAAGCGAAAGCCTGGAGCCAACGCGAGGGGCCAGCAAGGGGCCAACAATCGTGTGCCAAACGAACTGGAACCCCGTGGGTCCAAAGAAAGCAAGTCAAGCCACATTGAAACCAACAGGAACCATAAAGGAAGGAAGCGTTCTCCCCCACCCATTGCCCCCCCCGACAGAGACGCCGAAGCCCCCCCCAGCCCCGCACGATCCCGAGACGAACTCATCATGGGAGGACCGAGGGCCCTAAAATGCTCCAAGAGGGCCCCAAGAGGCTCCCAACACAGTCCAAGAGAGCCCCGAGTCGCCGAAAGATCGCTGCAAGACGCCCAAGATGGCCTCCAGACGGCCGAAGGGGGGCCCCCGAGAGGCCTCCCAGGAGCCTCAGGGGGCACCCAAGAGGCTCAAGAGGCCCCCCCCGGGAGCGCCCCCAAAGGCCAACATCATTTTGCAGCGGGCTTTATAGCTTTTTCGGCGCACCGACGCTCAAGGACAGCCCAAGAAACCCCCAAGATCGCCCCAAGACGGCCGAACCTGCCCCAAGACGGCCCCAAGACGGTTCAAGAGGGCCCCAAGACGGCCCAAGAAGCTCTCAAGACAGCTCCAAGAGGGGCCCCGGAGGGGGACCACGAATCGAAAATTCCAGCCTTCCGCCTCGAGAGGACCCCAGAAGACCCCAAGAGCGCCCCAAGATGCTTCCAAGAGGCCCACAAAAGGTCCAAAAGAGGCCCGAGAAGAACCCCTATCAGGTTTCAAACCTGCCTCCAACACGCGCCCGAGAAGCTTACCACGAGATCCCAACGAACACTCAAGGGTCCTCTGAACCACCACCCGAGCACTGTGGCGCGATGAGCCGAAGGCGATGTAATGAAGAGGACTTCCAGAGGCAGACATCGATGAAAAATCTTCCAAGATCGACAATCGACAATTGTCAAAACGAGTGAAGGCCCAGACTGTGCTGGAATGTGCCCCCACCATCGGAATACCAGGGCCGATGCTCAGCTCAACCTCTATAGAGTTGCAGCCAAAGGAAGGAGGAGCAGCACCAGCGGGTCGAGCAGGCACGGTGTTGTCGGGTGTTCTGGCCAACGAGCGCCTACGTCGCCCAGACCTGCGACTTCATGGGAACAGGGAACAGCGACACCACCACCACCATCGGGGGCGCGCAAACATGGATTAACGATCCATGGATTTGGCGCGCGGTCGCCAAAACCATGGATCGGGGGAGGTGCCCTCCCCAAAATGCGGCCGGCGCCGCCTCGCTCGGCGGCGGAAATCCGCGATCTCTTATGGAAAAGGGGCCCGTCGCTAATCCACGCCCCCTTGATCCATGTCTGCGATCGCCTGAAACCAGCAGGAGGTGCCAGTGAGGGTCGCCCCGGTGGTTTCGTTTTATTTTTTGGGGGGGAATTTTTCTTGAGGGGGATGTTTGGGGATGTTGTGGGCGTTGTTTTGGTTTTTTTAAGGGTTTGTATGGGTTTTTTTGGGGGGGTTCTCGGGCGGTCGAAACGCAGCCCCTCGCTGGAAGTGGGTGGCCCCCGGTGGTGGTGCCGCCTCGCCTGCCTCCGACCCCACCACTATATACATCGAGGTGCACCGGCCCTGCGGAGTCGAAAGCCCGATGAAGCAACGCTGGGCTGAGAGCTGAGGGCAGGAGAGCCCAGAATCGAAACGACAAGTCGGATCGGCGATCAAAACGAATCGGATCGGCGGGAATCGGCAGCCGAGTCGGCAACAGTCGAATCGGCGGAACTCGGCAGGCCAGCATACCTCCCATTAGAAATCGGAGCCCAAATCGGAATTCAAAGTCAAATCGAAGCGGACTCGGAAGCTATCGAAATCGAATCGAAGCGAATTGGAGGAGTCAAAATGAGCCTTGTGAAGGAGGAAAGGGTTGAGGCGGATGCTGAGGTAGCGCTTGGCTGAGAGCTGACCTCGCGAGGAGCAGCAGCTAAAAAAAACGTAATCGACGACGAGGGGGTGGGAAGACTCACGGCACTTCGTACCGCTTCTGGGCCGCCGCGGCGCCTCCCCGCCGGAAGGACCACACGGAGAAGCTGCGCCCGCCGCTGCAGGCACGCGTCCGGCCTGGGACGCGCCGGGCCTCGTCGTCGGCGGCGGTTTCGGAGTCGGCGTCATCGGTTGCACCTTCTTCCCATCCCCCCCTCAGCCTGCACCTCCTCCTTCCACTTCTTCTTTTCTCTCTCTCTCTCTCTCTCTCTCTTTCTATCTCTCTCGCCCTCTTCCAACCCCCTTCCTTCCTCCCATCATTCCTCCCGTTCCCTGCTCCCTCTCCCCTGGGAAGAGGAGGGGGAGGTTTCCCGACTGCTGGGTGTTTTCAATGTTTCCAAGCCTCCCGGGGGCAGGAGCCCGCGTCGCCACTGCGCCTCGAACTCCTAGCGAGCGCGGGGCTCCGCGAACGGTCTCAACAACGAGCTACCCCCCTTGCAGACGGGCGCAAACCAATCCAAGATGCGCCGAAGGAGAAGACCCAGCATGCCGCATGCCTCCTGAAGGCCCAGACAGGAGACGGCGTGACCCTCCAGCTGTCTCTCTCTGACTATGTTGCTGTCTTGTTGTCCTGGTTCGCTCTCTCTATCTCTCTCTCTCTCGCCCTCCCTCTTTATAGATCTCTATTTCTCTCTCTCTCTCTCTCTCCCTCTCCTTATGTATGTGTACGTATGTGTACACATATACATACACATAACACATGTGAATGTGTGTCGCGTACCTTACTTTCCCCTCGCTATCTCCACCTGGCTTCCCTATCGTATGTAAGCATGCGGCATGCGTTAATCATATACGTTCCCCTGTCATGCTTGTTGCAAGTCTCCCTGGTACTCTCCATCTCTCTCTTTCTCTCTCATCCTACCGCTCGCTCTCTCTCTCTCTCTCTCTCTCTCTCTCTCACACAGTATCTCTCTCTCTCCCTCCCTCTCTGGTTCAATCTGTATATATATATATATACATACATATGTTTTCTCTGTCTCTCTATGTCCGTTCGTTTTGTGTGTCCGCCTTCCTTCCTTATATAAAATGAGTTGTGCAAATATGTGGATTGGATTGGACGAGTGTGTACAGACATGTCGTTTATAGGTGTATTTATTTCGCATTATTTGTGGCACGAGGCCACGTGCGTAAACGAGGCCAGAAACGTTGTGTTGCGGTGTTGCTTTGGTTCTCAACGTCGTTTAATCCGCTACTGTGCAACGTCGTTTCTACCGTTTCGTTTTCGTTGTTTGCTTTCTCGTCGAAGGGTGCTTCTTATCTCCCCTGCCGTCTTCGCTCCCCCTCTGCCCTTCGCGTTGTACCATCCATAGATGGGAAAGAGGTTAAACGTGGCCCCCATGCGGAAAACTGAAAACAGAAAAAAGGCGCTCTGGAACCAGACTGATAGCGGGGCGAAACACTAGGAGCACACGGTCCGTCCGCAGCGGGCTCCGACGATGGAAAACGACAGACCTGATCACGCAAGACACCGAGTAGTTGCTACTAGCGTTTTCAATGTTGCTGCTACGACCTGAAAACGCTCAGACAAATACATCCAGCACGCCGAAGTGAAGCCGGTTAATCCGGTTCAGGGCTTATTCTAGATGAGCAAAGCACATGTGTGCTCGCTCGCGTGTACATATACATACACATAGATATGTATCAGAGTGATGAGGCCAGACAATCATTCATTGTCCCTGGGTGAGTGAGTACATCAGGAACTCGTGGTGAGAGTTCTGTTTGTTGCATTGTCATTATTGTGTTGTTGTGGTTTTTGTTGTTATTGTTGTTGTTGTGGTTGTTGTTGTTGTTGAATATTATTACTTCTAAAGAATAATTATTGTTGGGCCCCCTGGTGCACGCCCCCCCCGCCGCGCCTAGGCCGCAGCCACATTTTCATTATTTTCGTGAGGAAGCCTCAGGTAAAACGATGTGATCCAGATCCGGTTGTTTTGTTGTAATCCGTTTTCCCTTGCAAAAAACACTATAAAATGACATTTCTTGTTCTAATATAATCAAATTTCAAGAATCCCTTGCAAAAAATAAGGTAAAGTGGACATTCGCGCGCGCAAGACGAAATCCTTCCAAAACCTTAGTGTTCGGAGCGATTTTAACATAAAAACATCAAAAAACCAATGGTTTTTCAACAAAAAAATGTCAAAATCTCATCCCGCGCGCTCTTGCGGATTCGTAGGAAACCCAACACTTTTTAAACATTTCTGTCAAACGGGCTTTTGCGAGCAACTTTTTCGAACTTCTGCAACAACGGTTGCGCACCTGCCAGGGCCATCATCCCTGTCAAATAATACCATGCGGGACACATTCGTTTTTTCTTCGCGCGCGCACGCCGTCGTCGTCGGCCGCGGGGCCCTGAATAGTAGCCACGGTCGTCCGCATGCCACGAAGTGAAGTGTCCGAACGTCATAGGGCGGGAAGCTGGGTGTGGGTGGTGGCGAAGAGTCGTTTGGAAATTTGGTAGAGCTTGAACCGGCCCCCCCACAAAGTGGGGGTATTGCCCGCCTCCTATGAAAACCCTGGCACTGGTGAGAACGGAGTGTCCCCAGTCTTAAATGATTGTTGTTGTTGTTGTTGTTGTTGTTTGTTGTCGTCGTCCCACCCGCGACCCACCCGCGACCCATCCCGCGACCCACTCCGCGACCCACCCCGCGACCCACCCCGCGAACCACCCCGCGACCCAATCCGCGACCCACCCGCGACCCACCCCGCGACCCACCCGCGAAACCACCCGCGATCCACCCGCGACCCACCCCGCGACCCACCCGCGACCCATCCCGCGACCCATCCGCGACCCATCCGCGACCCATCCGCGACCAACCCCGCAACCCACCCGCGACCCACCCCGCGACCCACCCTCAAGGGAGGTAAAACGACCCAAACCCGACAATCGACGTCTACTAAACGGCCCTGGGCGTTGACTAAACAGCCCTGCCCTGTTCGATTCATTCCTTGTGTGCGTTTACTAAACGGCTTCGCTTGTCGGGGTGAATATTACGGGGAATTTCCTGCCCTCTACACCCGCGACCCACCCGCGCCCCAACAACGACCCACCCGCAAACCATCCGCGCCCCACCCGCGACCCATTTGCGACACACCCGCGACCTGCCTTCATTGGGTTAACGAGAAAATCGGCGCCTGCGGCGAGCTCGTTGTAGAATGTGTGAAACTTTGGCGCCTGCGGCGGGCTTCTCCAGAGTCTCGCAAACTGTCGACGTCCCCACCGCCCTCTCACTCTTATCCGCATCTGCGGGGTGCTACGGTATATATTCCTCTTCCTATATTTTTACAAGCCCGGGCGGGGGGAAAACCCGTCCCCCCCCCCCCAAAACCGGACTCATGGGATCGTGGGCTTTGGGGACCTCCAGAAGGGCCTCGAAGCGGCCCCTGGGCTCGCAGCACGTTTTGCCAAGCCTTCCCAGCACACCTGGGGCGATCAGGGGGGTCATCGGAGACGCCCCAGAGATCCCAAAGACAGCACAAGAGCGCTCCAAGAGTGACCGACGTGACCTCAAGATGGCCAAAGAAGCCTCCAGGGCGGCCCCAAAGAGGCCTCCAAGAGCACTCTCAAGGAGGCCCCCCGAGGCAAACATCATTGATTTTCAGTTGGTTTTTGGTGAAGTCTGTGGTTCTCCTCTTTTCGGCTTCCCGACGCTCCAAGACGGCGGTCTTCTGGGCGTTCGAAGCCGCCTGGGGGGCTCCCAAATCGCCCCACAACCATCCGAAAAGGCTTCCAGGCAGTCCAAGAGAGCCCCAAAAGGGCACAACACGGTTCCAAGATGGCCCTCAGAGAGCCCCTATGGCGGCCAAAGATGGCCCAAAGACACCCTCCGAAGCATTCCGAATCGTGACCCGGTCGTTCAGGGAGACCGCGGTTAAAGGCAGGGTGGCCCGAGCAAGCCCCCGGAGGCCCCCAGAATACGCCCAGGAGGCCTCCATAAGGCCTTATTAGAAGGCCTGAAACAACTTTTGTGAGGCCCCCAGAGGCTCTCCAAGGAGGAGCCTCCGCAAAAAAGAGCTGAGGAGGATGGGGAGTGTGCGCAGGGTATGGCGAAAAAGAAGGAATCAGAAGCATGGAGAAAAAATAACGAATAACATTATTATAGTGGCGATGCCGGAAAAGGCAACAAGGAGTTATCGCTAAATTGTCGGCTTGACCTTCCTGCTATTTCGCCGGCATGCCAAACTTCAAGGATCAAGGTGCAGTGGCGCGAAGCGCCACTGCAGTCTTGTATATATATATATATATGTATATACACGTGTGATCCTGAGCTCCAGGCCCACGGCCCCCCCCCCTGATGGGAAGGGGGGGAAACGACCACGACGACGACCACGACGACGACGATCACGACGACAACGATCACGACCACGACGACGAACACGACGACGACGACGACGACGACGACGGCGGCGGCGGCGACGACGACGACGGAGACGATGACGACGACGACGACGAAGACCGCGACGACGACGACGACGGCGACGACGACGACGACGGCGACGACGACGGTGACAAAGACGACGACGACGACGACGACGACGAAGGCGGCGGCGGCGGCGGCGGCGGTGCCGACCTCGCGAGCCCTCCGATAAAGACGGCGACGACGACAACGACGGCGGCGGCGACGACGACGAGGATCTCCGGAGCTCTCCTGGAGCACCACAGTACCCCGCCACGCACGCCACCCCCACAGCACCACACCACACCCACAGCGCGGGGGGGGGGGAGGCGATGGCATCAGCATGAGGGGGGGGGCCCAGACCCTGGACCATATATACACATTTATATATATATATATATATATATATGTGTGTGTGTGTATCTGCCAAAATACGTGTGTAGACATAGGCACGCGTGTTATACGAGGCTAAGCTTGCGGCGTGCCAGCGTGGTCTGCAGCTCCGGATTCACAGCGCTGCTTTCACCTGGCGGGCTCCGCAGCGGAGCGGACGCCAGCTCCTCCTCGTCCTCATCATCATCCCGCTCCTCACACACCCCTATTCTTTCTGATTGTGTCCTCCTCGTCGCACTACCAGACGGATCGGAATATCGGGCCAGACGTCTGGCATGAGACTTACTCGCAGCATGTGGAACCATAACTTTAAATTCCCCGTCGCTACACATATGGAGGACACGAGTGGTCTTCACAAGGAGGATCTCGTCTTAACCGCATCCACAAGAGACTGGGATTCAGGGAAACGCGTTGCACACATATTGACGTCGTATTCAAAGCGCGCACATTCGCCTGGACAGCCTTGACCAGCTGGAACCTTGGAGGGCAAATCGTTCACAAAAGCTGGAATCCCAATAGCCCCACATCTGTTCGTCTAACCAATTTACATTATGTGTGCACGTACTCCGCTTACTGAAGATGAGCGATGGCTTTATGACTACGGCCCAACAACAGCGGCCCAGGTCCGCCTACACCTGTCTCTCCTGTCGCTGCTCACCGCCCTCCCCCTCGCCGCCAAAAGCGGCGTCCAGAGGCCAGGGTTGTGACTACCTACCAGACCACCCCAACCCAACCCGAAGACCCGAATTTCGGGTTGGGGGGGGTAAGGGTTCCACACGTGTTTTTTCGATGTGTCCCGACCCCCCCCCCCACTAGAAATCGAGGGTAAATCTGAGCCTTCGGGTTGGGTTGGGGTGGTTTGGTGGGTGGTGAGGTTGGAGGCTCGAGGGGTCACCGTCGGAGGCTGGTCCCTTCCCCCTCCTGTTCCTCCGGCGCAATACTCCTACCGCCTCATCTCCACTGCGTGCCACCGCAGGACGTACCGAAGATGAGGCAGGACGAAAGGAAGAGCGATGATCGTGCGGCACTCCCGCAATAGATCCTCCTCTTTCGATTTCGATCCCTCCTTCCCCCCCATCCGCCAGTTTGCTCTACAGTTCTCTGACATGCTTTTGGCCTTCTTGAGGCTGCATTTGTCTCCGTCACCTCCCGCTCTTCGCTCCACCTCGTCCTCGCCATCCCGTCCTCCCGTCCTCCCCCCCTCCCACCTTCACCTCCTCCTCCATCTCCTCTCTCATCCCACTAGGTCCTTGGGCGGGAGGCTTCGTCTCCTACTTTCATGCGCCACTCCAGAATCTGTGGGACCAGCGCAACAGAGCACCACGAAGTTCAACGACGTCGGCAACGACCCTTGTGAGGGAGGTCGTAGGCATAGTGACTTGTACGGTGCTGGGTCCAAGGACGATGGGACGTCGTCTTGAGCCGACTAGCAACAAATCCAAGACATGTCCCGATCCGTGGTAGAGAAAAATCTGGTACGCATGAGGTGTATCGGAAGACCCACGCAAAAGCATGTGTCTGCATTCGTTATGCAAGCGGGATCAGCTAGCAGCTCGATGAGCCGATCGCAGTAGCCGCAATGCGTTTGTAGATAAGGTGGCCCCGTTATTTGCAGAAGGCGAGAGGGAGACAGCGCACGTGCCTTGATCAGCTCGACGCTTGGCGAAACGCATACGTACATATCGATTTTCCTCTTGCTGTTGCAATCACGCGCGTTGCGCGGCTGGTACCCGTGGAGACAGTGAGCGTCTTGTGCAGGTGCGTAGCCTGGTGGCTGTCTGGGTACCCCTGACGGAAGATTCAAAACGCAATGGCAATGCATGTGCCTCATTGCGCTGGTGGTGCCAACGGCTGGCTGATATGACGTGTGAATATATATATATATATATATATATATGATGGCCTTCGGTTGGCCGGCGCACCGTGCTTTTAACCGTGCACGGTCGCTACGCGGTGCTCATCCAAATCATAGTTGGTCGCCAAGCCGTTCCGCTCCTGCAAGGGACTTGGTGCACAGAAGGACTGTTTCTCTTCCCCCATCCCCTCGTCTTTCTCCCCCGTCTCTTCCTCGGGCACCACTCCCTCTCTGTGATCTCCCGATGACGACAACGATGTCAACGATGATGACGATGTCGACGACGGCGACGGGGCGACCGAACTGGGGACGACAATGAAACGACGACGATAGGTAACGACGACGAGGCGGCCACGGCGAAGACGAGGCGACCACGATGACCACGAAGATGACGCGGCGACCATGACGAACACGCCCACGACGACGACACGGAAACAACGACGAGCACGAGACGCTCCGCGGCAGCCGCCGGCAATCGCTGGCCCTGTCCGACGGAGTCCCCCGCTCCTCCCGCGACCTCGGCGCCCTCGGGGGCACCCCCGACCTCGTGAGCGGTGCTCTGCAGGCCACGTCGGCTTCCGAGGGGCCGACCCTGCGGGCACCCGGGCTGCGCGACCAAAGCAAGGCGCCTGGTGCGCGCCCCCCGATCGCGGTGCCCTGTGCGGGCCGCCGGCGCGGTACGCCGCGTGGAAAGAACTGGCGCTCGCGCGCGCGCGCGCGAGCGCGAGACGAAAACGCAGGCAGCTCGGGCTCCAGTGCCCGCACAGTCAGCCCCATTGAGTCATGTCGCTCCGACCCTGGGCGAAGAATGAAGGAACAAAGCGCTGCAAAAAATGTA